GCAAAACAACAATGTGAAATCACCAAAATTTGCGTTGTATGCGAACCGAAACCGCGACGGCAAATTAATTTAATTTCCATTTGGAACTCAACGCTACTTGTATACATCATGCTGAAGTTGAGCTGTGGTGCCATATGAGACAGTAAGCTCATGCAGCCATTTTTGAAATTCTAACTATTGAGTAGAAATTCATTTTTTAATTGGTCTTCCTTGGCGTTGCCGTCCTGACTGCATAACGGTCCCTATTATCAGTGATAGACCCTCAGTAGACCTCTTATTGGTTCATGTTGCTCAAAGCCTCATATTTTACTGCAGGGGAAGAGACACCCATGCCTAATTGCTAATAATAAGCACTTGCTCACAAGCTACTGGTCAATGGTAATTGTCAATTATAGACTCAGGGGTCTCATCAACATTTTCAGCAGGAGTGCAACTGGTTTTTACAGGCAGGCAAAACTTTTTGAACTGAACTTCTGTACACGATAAACTTTCCTCTAGATGATCAAACCAGGTGAGCAAAACCTTCCTCACAACTGGTCAATTTGCCCAGTGCCTGGCTCTTAATAAAACCCCTGGAGAGTTGATGACTGCACCCTTCCAACTGGCCAGCCATGATACTCCCAATTATTAGTATCCGTCATGTTTATGCACCTATCTTCAATATTTTTTCAGCCCAGGGAGGTGAGGTGAATGAAACTGCTCTAAATGAGGTAATACTAAAATCGCTTACTGTAATAATTTTTACAATGAATAACAAGCTATCTAGACTCTGTTTGAATGATTCTCCAGCTTCTTCAATAAAACATACAATATAATGGACAACCTTTAACTAATATTTATTTTTGTCAGCAACAAGTGCAAGATTGTTTGCAGTATGTGTATGAAATATAATATATAATGAACAAAAATGGAAAGAGAATCTGTCACTTGACATGTGAAACTCAACATCCCCTACAATTGCTTGATTTTCCAGGCTTCAAATCTTTTAACTGAAATGACAAGATCAGTTTTACAACCAACAACAAAGGCTGCTACAAGGTATAAAGTAAAGATGCTTGGGACTCCTGGCAAGTGTCATTGAGACCTTCTCTTTTTGCTCTTTTTCAATTCAAGCTATTCAATAGTTCTTAAACAGATATATGTGATAACCAGATTACTTTTATGATACATAATTTTGGCTTTCTTTGTCCATAGAGATCCATTTACTGAACTAGGAAACCTGCCTTTGAAATTCAATACTCCATCAGGTAGATGTTTTATGAACACTTTGTGTCATTCCTTGATATTTCTTTTTGCTTGTTAAGATAAATTTAAACTTCCTTGGCGATACATTAGACAAAGTATAATCTAGTTTGACCAGTTAAAAAAATATTTTAAATCAGAGAAAAATTTCAACAGCAACATACATATGAAAGGTGTCCAGACCAGAAGCATGATCAAGGCTTCTTTCCAAACTTACAAGATCACACAGTTACAATGCAATTAATACAATTTATACATATGTGTGTTTTTATCCCAGTCTCATGTGAACATCTTTTAACATCAGCTTTGATTTGTAATTCTCTTTCTGTAGGAGTCAAAGTCAAAAGTGAAGATCACATGGGAAATGTGAAACTAAGTGTGAGTGAAAATTTTTTACATACTGACTAAAGCTGTTTTGAACTAGCTCTTCCTTGACTTGCTGTTTCTGCCTAAGGGGCAACCAAATCCAGGAAAGCAAACGAGATTACCTTGAAATGTAAACATTCGTTTTACCTTAGTTTGAATAATAAGAGGAGCTTTGGTATTTACCATGTTTTTGTTATTAACTATTTCATCATTCAATTTGTGTTGGTTTTTATTAGCAATATTATTGTTGTCATAGAACAATGTAAGATAACCTCTGTAGGCAATAAAAGCTAGGTAAAACATTTTGCCTCTTTGTAGAACCAATGCTTCAAAGGAAGCTTACTCAAAATAAAAAAGCATGATGTACCTGTATCATAGCTTTCAAATATTTAATTTCATTTTCAGGAACCTGAGTTATTGGAACCAACCACAGCTCAAAGAACACTGCGTCCAAGAAAGGTAAATTTTTGCAACTTCGCTTAAATTCATGAAGAAATTTAGGATGTCACTCCTGGCTAATACATGTATTTCAGACAGGTGAATGTAGTTTGCAGATGTAACGCTTCTTTAGTCAGGTGATCATTTGGTTTATCTTGTGACCTTCATGTTTGATTCATGGATGACATTGTAAGCAGAAATAAGATGTTAGTTAGTTAGTTAGGGGTCAAGTGTCAGTGGATTTAACAGAGTATTATAATATTAATTTATTAGCTTTGCCGACAGGCAGGGACCCTGCAACAGCTTGCACCAATTACTGCGGGCCCTAGTACCCACCCATCCCACCCTAGGTAGGACATCTACCACACAGTGATCTCGTGCTTGGGAAATTAACATCTCCTACCCCATAATATGACCATGTGCTTTAAATTATACTCAAAAGAATCTAGAAACTGGAAGACAGTGCAACATGTTATGTGAATAAGGGAAGTTAGGAGTATACAGATGTACAATATCGAAAAGTTGTATGACTGTCTGCTGCATCATTCCTCTTCAGAGGAAGGGTATGTCCCCCGGCACAGTGGATAAGAACACAAGATCAGCCAAGACTCGCAAAACAAAAGATAACATTACAGTTGTGCCACCTTCTACTGGGAGACGCACAAGGTAAGGATGTCTGTCAATTTTCTTGTAATGTTTTTGGACAGTTCTGCCTTGAAATACAAACTCAAATGACAAAGGACTCAGTTCAAGTGCAAATGATTATAGAATGCTTTCAATTGGTGGATATGCTGGTGACTCAATAAATACATTAGACACTGTAATGCTCCTTGACTGAGTTGGGTATGATCGGTAGGGTTATTATGTGGCTCTTATTTGTGACACACAGACCTTATTGCACTTGGTCCAAATTTCATGACCTGGCGCTCCTTTCTCAAAAGTCCTGGTAACTTAACGGACTTGTAAAGCTCTGTTTTCATTCACGATGGGGATTTCAAAAGTTTTGAAATAATACAATAAAACTATCAGCTAAAGAAACAAAATAGACTGGTTTTGGTGCTAGAACCCGCTTTTCTATCCTTTAATGATTTTAAAACATGGCTTTGGGCCTGTTAAGTTACCAGGACTTTCGAGAAACAGGCCTCCAGAGCAAAATACTTTACCATCCTACCCTCCCACTCAGTCAACCAGTTTAAATAGTATTATTTTGTTATTTTGTCTTCTGATTGTGTTATCTTAGCAAAAGGACTCAATCAAAAGCTCAATTTGCAACACCTGCAGTGAGGGAAATTCCTTACAGCAACACACCAATGGTGACACCAAAGTTCGATCCACGGTTAGTTTATACAATCATTTAATTTTACTGTACACACTTCAGTGAACAACGCTTTATATTCTAGGATCATTTCTATGTTTTATTTAGCTGTAGAAGTTTTCCAGCATTCACACAGCACTTAAATCAGTAAAGCCATTTTTACGCTTTTGTGTTCTATGTTTGAAGGTTACCAGTGACTCCTGCCCTGCTACGAGAACCTAAAGTTGGTGAAAGGTAGGTACTCTACACAACTGACTGTAGTGTTTACAGTCATGGAAAGTTACCTGAGTGTACAAATGAGTCAAAGTTGGTGGTGACTCGACTTATGTTTTGTTTTACTTAATACTGAATCCAAACTGTTGAATGAGCTTGTTGTTAAACGTTTTAATTTGGCAATTTATTTTTCTACCTCCGTTATTTCTATTTTTTTTTTGGAAATAAACCGCAGAAAACATGGTTTCAAAGGTACGATGGGCATGCATGTACTTATTGAAACATGAATTTATAGACAATTACAGTGTTACAGATTTAGTGTTTGTGTAATAGTATCGGTGATGACGTAATCTAATTAGCATGAAGCACGTGGATGAGGTTGTGTGATGTATATAGAACGAGTGTGCGAGGAATAAAGGTGTGTTGCAATGCGGATTCCGTGTGCTCTTTAAGTTCCCTACAAGATACTAAAACAGAACTGTGTGTAAAGAATAACAATACTCCTAACAATACTCCGAGTAATTTATCAATAGTTATTGTTCTAAGTACTCTATATTTTGCATCAAAATCTTTTTATTTATTTATTTATTTATTTTTTTCAGTATCATGTCACTGAATGGATCACCGATTGTAAATAGTGCTCCAGCCCCAAACACACCACAACTTTCTATTTCCCTTGGTAACGGACGGGTAAGCGTTCTGTAATAACATCGTTTCGGTTACTACCCTGGTCAGTTAAGTAAGTAAGTAAGGACTTTATTTATAGAGGGGAACACAAGTGTGACCATTCTTGGCAAAAATTCAGTCCAAAGAGTGCGCACAAGCCTAATGGTCAGTTTTCTGTTAATTTTACTCGCTGTGGCATTATTGATCAGCCCAATGTTCTAAGACTGTTTGGAGGTTATCTCCAACTTGTTCTTGTTTGTTAATATGCATGTATGGTTATCTCTCGATCCACTCGTTATTGAAGGTCTTGTACCGGTTATGGGTCGATCTGTTGAAGCTTCAACATCCCCACCCCCCCCTGGACAACCCACTGGCATTTGACATGCACTTGGGTAGGGAATTTGAAGCTTCAAGTTGATCGACGCATTACTGCCAAGTTTAGTTTAAGCTTCACTTCTGTCAGCTCTTGTTTTTTTTAACGGAGCTTTTGTATGTCACGGTGTTAAAATTTCAGCCTCACATTTTTTCAAGCTCGTAATTTGCAATCTGTGTTAGCTTCTCCATCCATGACCATTCTTGCATCCTTTAAAATTGTCGCTCTGTTAGTGTCTCTCAAGAATGGTGAGCTACATTTCTCCTCTTGTAACAGCTGTCATTTTCATTTCTTACATCTTTCTCAGAGGATTCAACTTCATCCCACCTCTAACCTGAGCCCGTCACAATCGACGATTCTGAACGACGCCGCAAGGAAGAATGTGGAATTATTGCAGGTGTGTGCATACATTTGTGTCCAGGTGCTCTCTAAAAGTTAAGTTGAATTTTCAACGAAAAGTCGTGAAGACTCTTTAACCTCACATCTCGTCAACAGATAGGAGCGAATCTAATCCAGGCAATTTGACTTACGTGGAATAGTTTCCTTACTTAGTACATGTATTAGCTTTTAACACTTATTACACGTCTCCCTTGTAAATTGCTGAAGTTTTCCTGTGTTTGGCTCCAGTTGCATAAGTTTTCGGGCTTGTTGCTTTTTTTTCCGCCCTTCCTACTCAGAATATGCCCTACACGCATTCCACTTTTTGCGTGCTTTCCCCCGCTTAACAAAGCTGTTTTTCTCTCTCGCGCTTCGTCGTTTTTCGCCTCCCAATCAGGCATGTTTTCCCGCGCTTCGCACTGGTTGGTTGTAATTTTGCGCCGGGTGCTGATTGCACGTTACCAGCACTTCGCACTGATTGGTTGTTTTCCCGTGCTTCGCACTGGTTGGTTGTAATCTTGTGCCGGGTGCCCAAAAGTTGTTTTCTCACACGTAGCAATTGTTGCATGGATGTCTACGCTTCCTACTTCTTACTTATTTTTCAATCGTTTAGCAGGAACTGCACGATTTTTTTTTTTTTACCAGTCCAGGCCCCGGTTGTTCAAGGGTTGGATAGCACAATCCACTGGATATGTTTTGTTAACACTTATCCGCTGGATAGCGATTTATCTGTTGGATAGCGTTGTCTGCTCTTTGAATAACTGGACCCAGGACTATACTAACAAATTCGTTGCAATGTTTCTCTCTCTTTCAGCTAAAACTTTCACAGCTCCTGGCTATGCCGAATCCAGCACAGAAGAAATGATTCTTCATTTATTCAGCTGTAATTATGGCAAGAAACCAAAGCTCACTGGCATTAAGACTAAAAAAAAAATGAGATGGTGTTTTTTATTTGTTTGCGGCAATTTTCAATTGAGTGTCGAAAGTTATCCAGATTGCATTGGTTTTTCTTTACTTCGCTCTGTGATTGGTACCGCCCTCTCGACTAATCAGATGCCAGACTAAAACCATTTACGACTTTCGTTTCCCGCGTTTTCACGCGCTTTGGGCAGTATGATTGGTTTTTTCTTTGAGATCTATTTGGCTCGTAAAATATTTTCCTCTCCTTTGATTGCCGTTGGGATTACCTTAATTTTGGTTTTGCGACAGTTAATCGAAAGGTGCTCCTTGTGGAGTGTTTGTGTTTGCTTGTGTTATTCACTTACTATGCTCTGAGAATTTTTCTCCTCGCTCTGTGTGTCTTTCAACATAGAACTAGTCAGATATGAGACAGCAAGCAGACTAGCCCTCTCACTGGAATCGACTGCTTGACTGCAAAGTCCGTTTGTATTTTCAACTTTATTTCACAAATCAAAGGCAGTTTTAAAGTAACAAGTCCCGTCAAGTAAAAATATGAAGACTCATCGCGATAGTTACCGTCAAACATAGTCGGTACACGGAATTGCATGAACACATTAATTGTGCTGCACTTTTATCGCCCCTAATAAGATACATGAAAAAATTTCTCAGTTCTGATTGGTTAAGATGAATGCAGTTTTGAGTTAATTCAGTGCAGAAGAGGGTTAATTCAATGCAAAGAAAGAAACAAACCAGACACTCTGATTGGTCAGAATGATTGGTCACTGTCACTTACAGAGTTTGAATAAATTATTTTTGCACGTGATGCGCGCGCTTTTCTTCTGCGTAGTTATGAGAAGCTACCTCGTATTTTTTCATGTATATTATTAATAGATAATCACATGATTTTCTCGTGCAATTTGGAATAAATAAGCACTTGTAAATTTTTTCAAAGACCACAAATTGCACTCGCCCTACGGGCTCATGCAATTTTGTTAGTCTTTGAAAAAATTTACTCGTGCTTATTTATTCCAAATTGCATTCGAAATCATGTGATTACCTATACAAAAAGCCTTGTTGTTTTAAAATTTGGCATTTCAAAATTGATTTTAAGGATTAGATAAGTGTAGGTCAGATTGCTGCCTTTTTCTCTAACAGCGGGCTGGTTATGGAGCATTAAATTACTGTTAAGTTTTCTTTCCTCATTTCAATAACACTGGCTCGTTGGTTTATTTTCCAACGCGTCGGCTGAAACTGAAATCACTAAACTGTGACACTGCTAAAGAAATTTATATAATTCAGTACTTAAAGGTGTATTTTATTATATCGGAACGTTCGGTTTGGTCATGTGGCTTTTCATGCGTTTTTCAAAAGTATTGTCTGCGGAGATATGTACATACCAGTGGTGTTGACAGAGAAAAATTTCGCATTGTCATTTCTTTGATAATTGCAAATTTTGGAGTTAATTTCTGGTAAGGTACTTACTTTTTGAACCGTGTTCTCCTACTATGTGTATTATGATAGACCTCTAGAATTTTTAGACGCCCTACATAGGCGAATTTGCGTCGATCAATTCGAAGCCTCAAATTTTCCCTTTTCCCACTCCCCAGGCATTTGAACTTGTAAAGATAGGTTTGTTCTAATTTCCCCTCCTGCCGGAGGAAAAACTTGTGTTCAAATGCCCCACCCGATTTTTTTGGGTTGTCATTTGAGGCAAAATCAACGACCGTGAAAGTATCGTACTTCCAAAAGTGAACTATTTACTGCTGCAAAGCCTTGATACTTTCGGTTCAAATCCCCCACCTCGGCCAGGCAAAGTTTAAATTCCCCGCCCCACTCCCCGGCATGGACGACGGTCAAATGCTGAGGGGCGTTGTGGAAGCTTCAAATTGATCGGCGCATTAGTAGCTTCATCTCAACTCAGGAGAAGGCTTTATTAAGAAACGACAACAGTGCAAATATTCCTGTGTTTGAGCCTTGTAGATGATCTGTAAATAATTATACTTAGCACAAGAAATAATGAGATAAACTATTCAAAACAACGAGTTATTTGAACGAGACTTACTCTAATAAAATGACTCAAAATTTATTTTAGTTTGCTCTTATGCATTAACCTTTTGAATGTGCTACGCATGGAAAAGAAAAGAGCAATATGAAGAATTCCTAGATCATTTTCCCTGAAAGTTTGATTTGTCTCAAGCAGACAACACACTTAGTGTCCACCAAACTTTCTTAGTGAGCAGTCAAACTGTGCAAGACCAACTCAACTCAAGTTTTGATGTGCGATGCGCACGTCCCTTGGTTATTTCGATTTGATTTTATTCAATCAGAATCTAATTCTTACACGTTTCCGTGCGCAAAATTAAAGAGGAGCTCCCAACCTTCAGCGGAGCCCCATACCTATCATAAAGGTAATGACCCATCAAGTCGAAGAACTTTTGTCCGTGTCCGTACGCCTTAACGTACATGTCACTGCATTAAACATGCGCGAACAACTGTTTCGCGGGCCTAAGTCGGCGCATTGCGTAAGAGCAAGGAAAGGAAGAAAGGAATGTGCATGTGCTATTTCGTTCGTAACTTGGAAATCCCATTCGTGTGTGTTAGAAACCCACAACACGATAAAGAACCCTTCCCCTATTCGGTCAGGCCGTTGTAGTGAACCACATGCACAAGGTTTTGGAGTCCTACGAAGGTTCGCGTGGACTATTGGATACATATGCGTGGCCTACGCAAGCAAAGAACATGCCACTCGTCTTTTGGGTGGGAAATCGTACTGATTAGGTCGTAGTTGAAAACAGTTGCTCTTGGTAAATTGCAATTTCTTTTTAACTTGCAAAGCAACAATAGTTATAGCTAAAGCTATGTCAACCAGAAGAAATCGTTTTAAATCAAGTTTGTGGAGACGGGGTGTGGTCGAAAAATAGGCTAGAAAGATGGAGAGCAAGAAGTAAAAGGCGTAGAGCGAGTCAGAAACAACCAGAAAGGGTGCTGGAAAATAGGCAGAAACACCGCTAGGATATAATGTTCGCAGTGTGTAATCCAGAGATGACAGGCGACCTTGTGCTTGCTTTGTTGGTCTTTGTAAGCATTAGAAAAACTGTGAAGGTGTAGTCTGATCGTCCGGGTGAGCTTAGTCCCGAGAAGGACTGTTGTCGGTGGTAGTGACTGACGTTTCGACAACCTGTGCGGAAGTCATCATCAGAGTCAAGTGAATGATTGTTGCCAGTTCGTTTAAAATGATCGGTTGGTTTTGCCGTGATGTTATTGGCTGTAAGACTCGAGTGACGTAAGTCGGTCGTGATTGGTCTGTTTCGATCTGTCGGTAAAGTCAGGTCGTTCTTTTTCGGTCGTTTGTGATGTTTATGTCGTGAATGAGTCGTTTTGAAAAGCTATCAAGCATGTCTAGATGAATCCGTTTCTAAGGTAGCAGGTCACTTCTCCGATATGTCAACTCTTAGTCAACTCGCTGACACCTTTGTCAACAATCGTCTTGAATCAATTCGCCGACAAACTGGTCACTTCGCAGACGTACTCGTTCATTTCGCCAAAATCCTCCGCCACTTTTCCGACAAACTTCGTCAACCCTTTAGCTTTAAGCTTAAAGATCTCGATCCGAGATTTATTCTCAGTCAAAAACTAGCCAGGTGTGGCTAAGAATTTGAATGCTGTTTTAACAGGATAAACCTTTTATTAGTAATTCACATAATACAGCTGATACAGTATAGCGAACAACGATGAGAAATGTTTACGTTCCAACTTTTCCTTTCCAACCCTATCATGTCTGTCCAGCATGGCAAAATTGTTGCATCATGACGGAACACAAGCTTAAAATTTGTAAATATTCATCAGCTCCATCACAAAGACACTTGTCAACAATCTGAAAAAAAGTAAAGGCTGTAACGCGTGCTGCTACAGAGAGTAAATATTACCCTTAACATATGAGGAGTTGAAGAACGACAACGGTAGCAAAGTGACTGAGAAATTTTTTGAAATTAGGCAAAAACCCAAAATCCACCTTCTTAGACAATTCTAAGGTGAATTCCCTTCAGTTAGTCATTCGATACATTTGGGCAATAAGAAAATTTCAAGGCATGGAAATTAAACTGGTTAAAGAAGAATAAAGTTTTCAGAAAATCTCAAAGTACTTACAGCTATTTTTTCCATAATGGCAGATTTTTGATGGTCATTTAACTCAGCCATTTCAATAATTCTGTCGTGAACCTGGTAAGATTTGGAAGTAAACCCTTTTGTTATTTTTTTTTTTTACTTTGGAAGACATTCGTTCAGTACCGGAGAGTATTTAACCCTCCCCTCTAGCTGCTACACATTTCCTTGCAAATTAGTTGAGATAATTTGGTGTTAGATCAAGGTAACAAATTAACTTCTACCTACTAAGTCGAGTATTCTTATTATCTGTTTACTGGACAATGTATGGAAATAACGGACAGAGAGATGCTACATTAACAGAGTTCGAAGAGAACCATAAGAAATGTATAGAGAACAGCATAAAGAACTTGCATACTGATAGATGTTTGCTTATATGGCTCAATTAATACAAATTGCTGCTGGCCTTGGAACTGCATCTGGCTAGCATTTTAATCCTCACAGGGGATGCAGATGTTAGAAACTTGTTACAGGAAACAACAACACATTTATCATAACTTACAAGGTATTATCATACCTGGTTAATGACCTGAGCAGCTGCGTGTCCCTCAGCTATTATTTCCTGGTAAGTGTTAGATGTTGTTAAGAAAAGTAGATAAATGTAATAACTAATAAGTTGTTAAACCTAATAATTTTGGTAATGGCAAAAATTAGGTCAAGAGGTTAAACTATTGGATCCTCTGTCACTACACAGCTAAGATATACATTTTTTAGCATACAGTCAAAACCTCTCTAGAATTAGTGAAACAATGTGTTATCAAAGGTAATCCAATATCACAAACAAAAATATAGCTCACTAAGGAGAGGGGAGAGGGGGGATGGGGTTACAGACCACCTCTTGGCCATAGCTATGCCCAGCCTGAGAATAGCAATATTCAACTCTGTGGTGTTTTTGGTCAAGATAAAGGCTTGGCCCATGCCAAACAAGGGTCTTTAACCCAGGAGCACAGCAAAGTAACCAAGGATTAGGCCACCAAATCTTTTACAATTACAAACAATAAGATGATCAACCTCAGCAGTCCCTTACCTGAACTGTAGCATCAAGCTTTTCAAATGAGTCTGATTCACAAGCTTCAAAAAGTTTGTCTGCCATTTTAATTGGAACAACCTGAAAGAAAGTCACCAAAAAAAATGATACATGTTCATTATTTTGTCGATACTGATAGGTCACTGTATATATTTTTTGTTTCATGTGACCTTGCAAACCTTTGATTTGATAAAATAAAAGACAGTACTGTAACTGCAGTTGGGAAAATTAATGATCAATCTTACCCCAGCTATTTCACTGATATCATCAGCTTCTACCATGTCTTCACCTTTCAATCTGTGAGCACTCTGTAGGTATGTTATAGCCTATAAAACAAGTCAAACAATAAAAGAAAAGAGGCTGATAGTTTCGAAAGAAACTGTTTGGGGCTGCGTCGGTGGGAGTAATGAAATAATTTGGATATATCAACAAAGTTGAAATGGTAAATTAGCCACCGTAATGATTACAAAAGCTGACGTTTCGAGCGTTAGCCCTTCGTCGGAGTGAATTTCGGAGCCTTCGTCCGAGCAAACAATAAAAGGTTTGTTTCATCAGTGCAAGGATGGTTTATGTGGATGTAAGGACTGGTATGGGGCCTTTAGAACAACCTGAGCACTTACTGCGAAGATAAACCAATCAGATGGCTGCATTTTCCCATTCTAGGCTGTGCCATAAACTCCTCTTGAGGCAAACATGCAATAATCAAATGGACATGGTAGAAAAAAATGGAAAGTGAAAATCTGACTTTTGCAAGATGACTCTCTGATTGGTTATACCCTGGTGTACAGCTCCCTAAGTCTCTAACACATTTTAAAAAAAGTCATTTGTTTGCCTATACCTGCTAAGTAAAAATACTTTAATAGCATGTTATGCTTTGACAGTCCTTAAAAAGACATCACTGTTTTCTTTACAGATCATTCAACATTTCCTTTCTCACCTTCCTCATGTCACCTTCTGATATCTTTATCAGTTCTTGTATCGCCTGTTGTGAACAGAAGTTTTGGTAACTTTATACAAGGAATACTACTCAGAACTAAGAAAACTCTAACCCTTTCACTCCCAAGATCTCATTAGAAATTCTCTTTACTGTCTGTTATACAATTCTTATGATGTTAGCTTGGAGAATTTGATATAATAGGATCTTAATAATCCCCAAATTGATAATTGTTTTTCTTTATTCTAACTTATCACTCATCCGGTTAATATCCCATTGGTAACGTCTGAAGAAATTCAATTTTATTCCATCATGGACATTGAAGAGTTAAATCAGTGTCTCCTAGTAAAAAAGTCCCCTCAGTAAAGGTAACATCAGCAAATTTATGGTGAAGGGATGTCAATCAGGACCAATGTTTGTGTTCATCAAATGGAAGTCTCCAAGAAAGAGGTCAAAATCACAAATCATGAGGTTAACAATCTCCTAATTCTCTAAAGCATGCAGATATCAAATCTTACGATTGACCGTTAACATAATAATAATCTTCATGTATGAACTACAGACTGAGGAGTAGGTGAGACAGACTGTCAAAGAACCATACAAAAACTTTCAAATTAATTCTGTAAAATATTACAAAATTGATAATTCCTAAAGCTTGCAGAATTCTAAAAGATCTTGAAGTTTAGGTCATTCAAAATTCATTTACTGGTTTTACCTTACTATCACATTTAACATCTTCCTTTTCACAAATCATGTTGAGTCTTTTCTCTAAAGTATCTGTAGATAATGGCTTAAAACGAAATTTGGAACAACGGGAAGTCAGGGGCTCAATAATCCTGCAATATAACATGTAAACAAGTAAAATAATTAACTGCTTTTAATAAGCTGTCAAGTGTTATATATTTTCCAGCTGATACATCTTTCCCCAGTAGGTTTACCAAGTTATGTGTTCATGTTTTCCTTCAGCAGCATTGTTAAAATATATACAACCTCATCGAATGAGGCCTTAAACTGCTGTAAAAAGTAAAAATTTAGCAATAATTTAGCGTTCCCGGAATATTTCTTATCCCTGATGATGCCATTGATCAGCGAAAGCTCAGATATTCAAAAAAAATTTTTACTTTTTCCAGCAGTTTTAGGCCTCATTCGATTAGTTTGTTTATATTTTACCAAGCTAGTTTTACTGTAAGGAGAAATTAAATGCCAGTTACTCTTAAGGTTTTAACTTTAAAGGCTTAATTACAAGGTTGTACCTTATATTTCTTTTTAATGTCATCACCTGCTTACGTAGTTACAAATGAGACAAAATCTTGTAGTTTTTGTTTCCTTCTCCATAGTTCTTCTCAGGGCTGCCTGTTATAAATAAAAAAAAAAAAATTAAATACACCATTTTCGAAGTGTGAATGTTACACAGTTTCACAATTGGTGGAAACCAACAGACTGATAAAGAGGCTCAAACCTGAGCACTCGGTGTCATGGAGTCTGCTTCATCCAAGATAACCAGCTTAAAAGGTGGGCATGGTTTACCACTGTGGAAAAATATTATGACCAATGATTATGATAATTATGTATAAACCAAAAACAAAAATAATGCCAAACTTTTTATCATTTTAGTATAAATTTAAAAGAGTATTGCAGTTAGCCACTGAGCATTTTGAAGCCAGATGATGCTGATGTTGACATCTATAATTTAATTGACAAATTTAGAAAATTATAATCTTTTTAAGCTACATTTGCTATTGTTGTTGTTCTTTCGCATGTCTGATGTAATACCAAATTGGCTTATGTCGCTTCTGTAACATACTGAAGCCATGTTGTTTATTTTCGACCTTGTGGGCATGCGATACAAATATAAACCGCTGGCCGGTATCGGCCACATATATTACAGCTTCCTCCCTTCAGTCATGCTTGTTTTTGAAGAATTTATTTTAATGTTTCTTTCCCTCCTGCCTTGATAAGCTTTGTTCTTTTATGGGGAGGGATTGTTAGATATGTATTTTTATTGCTAAAATAAATAAATTTTGTTGTTTGTTGTTTATTTGTTTTCTTAAAATGATACAAGTTATCCTGAAATGAGAGAAAAGTGAGACATCATTTTAGTGTTTCCATTGCAAGCAACCAATGTTGCTTCTTGGCTAAAAATTCCTATGCATTCTGAAAATGTGTGATCCAGGCAAAAAAGGGCACTTGAAGGTAAATAAAAGAGAATCATAAAATTGCTGTAGTAACTAAGAATAGCCTGCAATATAAACAAAGAACTTACTCAGCACGAATACCAGAGGCTGCCAGCTGAGCAAACTTCTTTACTTTATCTCTTACCACCTGAAAATGCAACATGGTATGAAAACTTTGCAACATTGTAGTCAGTCATTAGAAAAATATATTCAAAATCGATGTCTTTTCAATAGTAATTAATACCTTTTCTTTTTCCTTATTCATTCTATTCATGTTAATTGTTGCACGTCTGTATGCACAATAATTCTTAATAAAGACCTTTATTATTATTATTATTATTATTATTATTATAATTGGAATTCATCTTTGATCTGAGATTCTAATAAATGACCCCATTTTTTCTTGTTATTCTGGCATGTGATCAAGTTGTTTCAAAGCAAACCAGTTATGCAAAGCATGCCTGGTCATCCTTTATTACTGGCTACCCATTTGAGCAAGCTTGAATTTTAATAAAATTAATCAAAGCAAATTCAGCTTCGTGGATTTGCAGATTTTGATGAATTTTTACTATTTTGGTTACAGCATGCATTTCTGAACATATCTCCTTGTTCTGACACTTGATCAATAACAGATGTTTCTACGGCTGACCTGTATTCCACGTTCATCTGATGCATTAAGTTCAAGCACCCGTGATCTCATCAATTCAGGTCTAAAAATCACAATGAAATACAGGTCAATAGGTATTTTGGTCATTTTTGGGCATACTGGCCTCATCTATACCACCAGGACTTACACCAGTCTAAAACAATACTGTGGAACAATTAGGAGTGTTACTTCTCCTCCTGGGAAACATTCTAGTCCATCTCGAGATAACATTTTGCAAAGTTTTCCTGGTACTTCTCAGTTATCTTTCTTGTTTGGAGGGACACCATGAGGTTAAAAGAATCCTGCCAGGGAAGAGTCTGCACTCCATCTAATTGTCCAATCCAGCTGCAGCTTATCGCCTTTTCTAGATCATGAAGAGACTAAAAGTATTCATACCCCCCACTGGATGGGAAGCCAGTCCATCACAGGTTATCTTGGATCATTTTGTCAGCATTTCCTGACAGTTCACTGGTACCCATTTACACTCCTTGGTAGAGAGAGGCACTGGGTGAGTATAGTACAGTAAATACCCGCAAGTAAGAACCTAAATTTTTAGGAGTTAGCCTAAACAGGTTCTTATATAAATGGTACTTAACAAAATTTTAGGCTATTTAGGTTCTTAAAACAGGTTCTTATTCTTGGAGAAAAACACACCTGCATAACAAGTTGGCAATTGTCCTATATTTTGTAACTACATATTTTGCACTCATTTTTCTTAAGAAAATCATGTTTTACAGCAATGGCAATCTGGTTTTTCTTCGATTATGATTACAGTAAATAATTTCAGTGTACCTGTAATGTACTATATGATTTTAGAAAATAAGAACCTATTTTAATTTTCTTAGGCTAAATAGGTTCTTGTTTACAGGGGGTATAAATGACAAATTTTAAGCTAACAGGTTCTTAATTTTTAGGTTCTTACTTGCTGGTTTTTACTGTATCTTGCCCAACAAAATAACACAATGAACAGGCTAAATCTCAAACCTGGATCTCCCTACCTAGAGTCCAGAGTGTGGATCCATGTTTGACAGTCGACTAAGGCATTGTGTGAGATGTCGATGTAAGCAGTGTTGTCTGTACTCTTATTGACAACAGCAAATTGACCAATCAGATTGCAGCATTACTGCCAATCGTGTTATAAAAACCTCATTTCTGAAGATAAACATACCCAAACAGTTGTCTTGCAATAGCAAGTATTGTGGATGTTTTTCCTGTGCCAGGAGGGCCATAAAAGAGTAAGTTTGGAAGATCAACCCCTTCTAGTGATTTTTTCAACACTGCCACAACTTCATCCTGATAAGCAACTTCATCCACAGATCTTGGACGACTAACAACAAAAAAGTGAGTGGCTTATCATTATTTTTATAATCAACATGAACATAAAAAAAAAAACAACAACAACAACAACACAAAAGATAAAGTAATCAGGTCCCAGTTGTTTGAAGGGTGGAAAATAAATCCTTACCCAGTGGATAGCGCAGTACTTTTTCCTGACACTTATCAACTGGATAGTCATTTATCTGTTAGAGAGAGCTACTTTATGAACAACTGGACCTGGATAGACTAGGAACAGAAAAAAGTTAAATAAAGGAGCTCCTTTCTGAGACTATGTAAAATAAAATAGCATGTCACATGAAATTTCAGTGAAATTTAAGTGTTATTTAAGTGTTCTGAACAGACTGTCTATACTCTCCTTTCTGAGTGTCATGATTTGTTTGGGTGTTAGTTCTGATAATCTGTTGTCACACCAAGACAGCATCATAAAACTACAATGCAGGATACGTTGACTCTTTAACATAACACCTTAATTTCCCGTTCTGTTCATCTACTCACAGTGATTTTTCATCCCAAAAAAAAATAAAGAAGAGAAAGGAGAACAATCGCACTCCAAAATAATTCGAAGAAAACGTTGAGCCTAATTGAAATCACGAAGGACGTCGAGGAAAGGAAATCAAAGGCACTCACTATTTTTCAACCCATGGAACAACAACCCTTTTGTTTGAAGATCCTGCCGTTTCTTCGCCTGTTTGTAGCTTAAGCTTCGAAGAACTAGCAGTCGAACTCTGTCCACGTAGGAAAGCATCCATCTCTACTGATGATGCTCTTCTTGTATGAAAACAAATACAGAAACAAATCGAGTTACTTATTCAGTTGTTGTTCCTTCCAACATGGCGAGATATTTCCCGCCAAATTCTCGCCTACAGACTGGTCACGAACTCAGCCCAGTTTCTTTCGCAAACGCTGGTTATTTTTTGTGGCGCATTCTCACAATGTTGCGTGACGATAACGCGTAAAGTTGACTACGATTAGAATACCACTTGATGAATACTTTAGAGACAAAGAAGTTTGTACAACTAATATTCTGATCGAATGAGCTGGCAAAACTTCGTTGAGGAAAGTTTGTTAGGTACAAGCCAGGTAGCCAGAGCAGCTATTCATGGTTTGGATGGGAAACGCTACGCTTCGAGCGCTGGATTTGTGGTTAGTGTTTATTGAAGTGTTTTTAAATTTGCTTCGTGGTATTTGTTTCTTATGTAAACAATCGTGTGTTCCTTAGTTTCATATGAACCAACGCTTCTTTGGTTTTGATATTCAGTAGATTTGAGGTTTTTTATCTCTTGTAGAGAGAACGTTGGAAATGTTTTCTATATAGCGTCCTCAAACGCTTGACTCGCTTACTTTTCATACCACCCGGCTTTTACATCTTAATAGGCTTTAAGCCTTTTTGCGACGAAGGTTTTGGGCAAAGACATTTTTTGAAATCCCGAAATAGTCTAACATTTGTGCTTTAGAAGTTATATATCTATCGGTCACAGGATGTTTTCATCCCGGTCGCTCGTGCCCCGAGGCTTTGGAACGTTCGAGACTTACCATCTGTATGAACTGACAAGCAGAAGTTTGGACTTTTATTTTCACCTGGCACAAAATAACTTAAGCTTCAATAAACCACCAGCATCGTGGCTAGAGAGATGAATGTGCGCTCTAAATTTGATGAATAAAGGTGAATTTTTGAAAACAGCATTTTTTTCAAATTCCGTTTTTCTTTCTTTTTTCAACAGAATTTGACACTAACTTTACCTAGTACGTCTTAACTCCCGCAGGCGCTCACATTGTATTTTCTCTGTTGTGACAGAAGCTAAGGGAAATCCAAGACTGAAAATAGATTTCAATCAAAAGTACTGGTTAGCCCTCAAAAATCTCATTAGTAATTCTCCTTACTCTCTGCCATACTTAGTTCAGAGAATGTGGTATTTGATCAATAATCCCCTCATTGATATTTTTCTTTATTCTTGTCACTTTTCTGCTTAATATTGTATTGATTTTGAAAGGAGAAATTCTTTCTTGGTCACTCATGGAAGTAAAGGAGGTTTTAAAAGGTTAAGCAGTTGTAAGTTTTGACTTTCCAGTGACACTTTCTGTAGTGCAACCAGAAATATAGTTTTGGATCAACAATCAACAGATGTTTCTAAAATTTTCTGGCTGTTTTAATTCTGTTACACAGGTTTTACCAAGTGAAGCTCAAGCATTAATCAGTGGGATCACCAAGGACCCTTCTCCTTTCTATTCTAAAGGAATTGCTGTTAATAGAACTAAGTATATTTTCGTAAGATCAGATCCTGGACATGCTATTTATTGCCGCAAAGGCAAGGAGGGAGTGGTTGCAGTAAAGACTAACAAGTGCCTGTTGATTGGTGGATATACAGATGGAATGCAGGCAGGGTGGTGCAGTGCTGTGATAGAAAAACTGGCAAATTATTTCATTGCTATTGGTTATTGAGATATTAAATCCATTATTCAAGCAAGAAAAATAATTTGCCCAGTGAAAAACAGAGAGCTTCTTTAACTGGCCTCAGCAAGGTATCCACGTAAAGGGCTGCCCGGAGCAAGGAAGGAATATAAGCTTGTACCGGAGAAATGATCAAACTATTTTCAGGATTGATTGAATCAACATATTAGAAATTTACTGGGTAACTAATTGCAAAGAGTTTTTTAATCCAATTCGTACAAACAAAACAAATTTGCAAAAATTGCAAACATTTACCTGGGTCACTTTAAGACTCCAAAGTTTTTGGACGGGTTGAGGAACAGGAAGGGAAAAATTACTTCATTCATCTTGTCAAAATGGGTAAAAGTTAAAGGAGACTGTTCAATGGGTAACATATTTTAAAAAAAAGATGTGCTAATAAAAAAAAAATACCCTATTTTAGAAGGGATGGGTCCTTCAGCTAAAAGCAGACATGAATGAAATATTTAACAATTATTCCACGAGCGCGTGTTGGATATGAGATGATAGATAGCCGAGGCCCATAGTGCCAAGTTGGCTATAATCATCTCATATCCAACAAGCGCAAATGGCATAATTGTTTTATTAAAAATGTTAAATTAAATTATTAAATTTTATTAAATTTTTAGCTCCCTTTTAATTTTAAGCCGACACGTACACTTACCATATTTGTAGCTTATGGTATATTGGCTGATATATCATAATGGCTAAGCCAATAAAAAAAGTCTTGAATTGCATTATCCAATGATCTAGTTTTTGATAAATTGGAATAGACCACTTTTATAAATGGCTGCCCGATTAATATACTTTTGTTTAAATTTAAATTAGCCCTACTGACCTTGTTCTCCAATACAAAATTCAAAGAAATACATTATCTCAAGCGAGGCCAGTAGGGCTAATTTAAATTTAAACAAAATAATATTTATACGGCAGCCATTTATGAGAGTGGTCTATCGAAGCAATGAAGTGTGTGCTTGGAGATACATGTTTTAGACTTGACATTTTTGTATCCTTTAAAAAACAAGGAAAACAGCCCATTTGTTATAATTATGAGACATAAAGAAATTATCTCTATTTCAATGATAATAGGTTTTACGAAATAGTGTATGGATGCATTAAGGTATCCTAACAAAATTAAATTTTGATACCAATGACACAGGATTCAATTTGTTCTGGGTAAATTGGCATGAATCAAACATTGTTCATTAAAGTAAATATATTTTATTTGTTTTCTGAGTGGTACTATTGTTTTAGATAGTGAAGTATAATCTTGTGAACAGAGGTTGAAATTGCCAATGGATACAAACCCAATGAGTTATTTAATTACGTCTACACATCAGGTTATATGCTCATGAGTGTCCTTGCAAGATCACTTCATACCACTCAATTTCAGGCCCCAAATATACTGATCTGATTTTAAAAGAATCCATTTTAGTCTCTACAAAGACAAAGCAAAATATGTTTCCCCACAAAAGCATGGTTTTGGTTTGCTCTCACCCGTAGCCACTCTTGCCATTAATTTGGGAACAATTACCTTTAGATGTGCTATCACCTATCACCAACACTTAAACACCTAAAAAAGATGATTGAAAATAACCTGTCACTGTTTCAAAAGCCTCCATGTTCACTATTTCACAGAAGAGAGAGATGCACATCTAACATTCCAATTCCTTGAAAATGTTTTGAAAGAGTTCATTTCCATCCGTGTTTTTGGCCATTTTAGTGTGGATGATGGACAAAATGCATCCAAAAGTATTTGCTTTTGAACAAAAATGCATTAGTGTAAACTTTAGAGTGGACCTACTACTTAGGCCTCTGCATTTTTTTGATTTTAAGGGAAGTATTAAATATTAGGTTCAATGACTGGGTGAATACCTATAATAAATGCAAAGTTATAGGAAAAAGTGAGCACCCTCCATTTTTTTGTAGAGAACTTGTCCAAATGGTACACTCATGAATTGCCAAGGACTCTAAGGATTGCCTCCCTTTCTCTTAAAGCTTTCCATGCTGCCTCCTTCTCCTTTTTTGTTGGCGACTTTCTTTTCTGTTTATATCCCATCATTTTCCTAAACCATTCCATTACTTCAGCATCGGCAACCTGTGCTCTGTGCTTTAGTTCCTGTCTTCTCATTTCCTCTTGTGTCAATTTTGAGAGCTCTACTTTCTGTTGTCTGTTCTTTGCAATCAAGACACGCAGTTCATTCTGGTGGCGTTTGAGCTCAGCCAAGACCTCATCATCAACCTCTTCATCTGCCTGATCGTCTGCATCCAGCAACCCTTGAAATACTAGTTCCTCTCTAATGCGTGCCTCTAAAGTTCGAGTATGAGGTACATGGGGTGCCTTACTCGGCGTGCGAGGGGGATTGTTACCACTTCTTGTAGTGGCACTGTCAGAACTCCCAGATCCTGAATTCTGCTCTGGAATTGGTGCTATAATGTTTTCTTCAATCAAAGCTGATACTAATCTTTGTGTTAGGGAACCAAATGGACACAAGTCTTCCTCATGAAGTCCAGCAGTGTTTGCCTTTTTCAGCAAAGATTTTTCATCACTTAGTTTATTTGTGTTGTCACTGGTCATGTTTGTTAAAGTACCACGCAATTTCTTGTCCTGCATCCTGGAACCTTCTTCTTGCTCTTCGAGCAGATCCTCCTGAGCCCATTTCTCTCCATAGTGTCTTCCTAAAGGTGGGACTTTATAATATTCTTGTTCATCATCTGGACTTTTCAAGGATTCTTCAAGAAATTTCTGATCTTCAACAGTGATATCAGCACAATATGGTTCAACAGCAGCCCAGAAACGGTTGGGTGTATCTGTCTTTGTTTTCACACTTGGGGGAAATGTTTCATCTTCCTGACTCCCTTCAGAAGATGCTGAATGTTTACTTTTTGGTCTTCCAACCAACTGACCTCCTGGACTAGTGCTTTTTGACTCTTCCAGTTTCTGTTTTTTGGCTCCTTTTTCCTCTGTTGCAGGCCGGGTTCTTTTCAAAGAGGACTGCAAAGAATTAAGAATTTCCAACTCGCGATGTCGCACACTTTTCTTGTCTTTTTTCTCTGCCCAATCAATCAGTAGTTTAGTTTCAGAGTCTATCTGCCTTATTCGCCGATTAGCACCGGCAAGAAGTGTTTCCAGGTCACTTTGAAGCAAGTGAAGGTCTTCGGGGCTTATTCCTTGATCCGCAGAGCGTGTTAACAAAGAAGTATAGAATGGGCACATGCTTTTGTGGTCCACCATTTTAAAATCACAGTACTGAAGAGGGCAGGGATCTGTATCACCTTTCCCATCATCTAAAACGTTAGACATGGCTATATCTCACAGAAAACTATCGACAATTGTCGCTTCAACCGATAATCAAACAAAAAAGAATTATGCTTAGCAGCCGCTCTTTTGCTTCATGCGTTTGATCGATGTATTCCTGGGAACTAATTTCCGGGTTGAACGAGGGTTGAACGCACGTGAGAATCGACTTGAAGCTTCAAACCGAATTTTCTGCATTTTTTTAAGGTATCTATGACCGAAAAAAGCGCCTGTTATATTTTGAAAGAGCAGCTCTGTCATCGCCGATGAAAAAGCTTCTGAACCGAATTCTCCCCAGTACCACCCCCAGGGGATGAAGTCAAAAGGTTTGAGTGTCCGCCATTTTACTTTCTTGTTGATGAAGCGGGGACGCCATGATGGACTCGCAGGGGCCAGCATCTTCCAAGGGGCTCCCAGACTTGAATACAGGGGCTAACGATGATCCTCCACAGAATTCGAGTGGTACGAAGATAACCGTTTTGTTTGAAAACCTTTTTGCTAAATACTTATGTCGTTAGAGGATTTTTTATTTGCCTCTTCACTAAAATGCGCCGTCATCGTCAAGCTGTCTAATCATGCAACGCTTGGATTCTTCTTTCGCGACAGAACACGGAAAAATTTTGTGCTGAAACGATTGTTCGAACGAATTCGATATGCTCATTTGAACAAAATTCGTCGTGTTTCCATCAAATATAACGTGGATTGCAATTTTGAATTAATTTGAATTCATGAGACGCCATATTGTCGATCAGGGGTCACACTGCTATTTGTAGAAGGTGTCGTGTAGAGGAAAGCTACAGGCAATGCATCTCATTTCATTTTGTCATGTAACAGGGAGAACGAGTTGGTAGAAATCACAGCGAAATCCATATACGTATTAACCTTTGCTAGTAGGTTAGGACATTGCAGAATGTTGTGAAATACCAGTGCTAGGTTTAAGTCCTGATCACTTGGCTAAAATTTGCTTGCAATTCCCTGCAATGTATCAGCACCTTGCAAGGGAAGGGAGACGGGGAAGGGAGACGAGGAAGTGCCGGGGAAAACCTTCAAGATACCTTCTCTGATACATAGAAATTGATATGGTTTTGAAGTACACTATGCATCAAACCTCCGAATTTTCAGCAGCCATTTGAAGTTACCCTAAGAGAATTTTTTCAATAGAGTACAGTGATGAACAAACTGCAATTCCCTGCAATGTATTAGCATCTTGCAAGGGAAGGGAGAGGGGAAGGTGCAAGAGAAATCCTTCAAGATGCCATCCCTGATCCATAGAACTTTATATAGTTTTGAAGTACACTATGCATCAAACCTTCAAATTTTCAGCAGCTATTTGAAGCTGCCCCAAAGGAATTTGTTTGATAAAATGCATTGATGAACAAATTGTCACACCCTGTGTAGAATATAGCCCATAAGGATGGTGTTTTTCAGGGTACCTCAATCAATTTATGCATCAGTTGATATATCAATTGTTACTTGATCGATACTCAACCGACATGCGACCCACATTTCATGAAACCACAGTACAAATGATTTTCATATATTCAAGTTCATTGATTTATGTCACTTCTACGTGTCTAATACAAACCAACATAGTGTAGCCCAGTTGGTAGAACACTGTACTGGTATAGCATAGGTCATCGGTTCAAATCCCGTACAGGCCTTAACTTTTTTGAAGCCTTATTTCCACCTACTAGATAAGTAGGGTTTATTACTGCAAGGAATGCTCTCATACATTTCCTGAAACCATAGTACACATAAATGTGATTTTCATAGATGACTGACATGTTGGCAGGTGTAGGTGGAGTGTCAATCAAGGTACCCTTAAAGATACATGATATATACACACCCCCTTCCCCACTCCACAGAGTAGCATTCTACCCAGGCAAGTTAGGAAGATATCTACGGTTGCTTCTTGTTGTTGAACTATATAGCAACACTCCTTTTCAGCAAAGTTCATCATGCAAGTCCAAAAAAAATCAGTGAAAAAAGATTGCTGTGGGAAGCTTTCACTCCCAGAGCTAACATCAATTTCTTTTCACTGATTTTTTTGGACCCATGTAATGGACTTTATGAAAAAGAAGGGAGTGCTTGCATGTAGAATTTTTCATTGTGGAAACTAGGATAAGATCCTACAGTTATGTGTGAGTCACCAGGCTTGTTGGGAAAGAATCATTAGGTATTTCTTTTCCCTCAAAAATGATAACTTTTGTTCCAGAATAATATACTTTTATCTCAATTTACATGATATAGTGTAAAGTCTACAGCAGTATTCTTATCGGTTGTTAAAAAAAATTTTTTTGATTTTTTCAATATACTTACCTTTTATTAGATGCAAACTCTGAACTCCAGAAAGACAAAGAAGTGTGTAAAAGAGATGACAAGAACCATTCATCTCATTCTCTAAGCAAGACTGAATTATCATCCTCAAGTATTCTTCAAAATGAACTTCCTGTTCCAACAACAGATACTGGTTCAGGAGACAATAAATATCAGGAAAAATTTCTCTCTAATGCGTCTACAGAGTCCTGTGAGACAGATCAAGAGAGCTCAGTACAAGATTGCTTCATGGTGGACAGTAACATTGAAGAGCAACTGTCATCTCACTTGCCCCATGGGAACAATGTGAACCCTGAGGAGGAAATGGAGATCACATTCCAACCCTCTGTGTATGGGGAAATTGGAGATAAAGATATTAGTTCCTTTCCTAATGAAGGTGTCTTTTGATATTAATGATTTTTGCGAATTATACATGTGGCACTCCATCTCCGAGTGTTTAATGTGTGAGAAATAGGAAGGCAGGGCAGAAGTGAAGGGTTTAAGATTCTGTCAAGGTTGATGGCACCATTTCAAGATAATAGTGAAAAAAGACTGAATACAGTTGTTTCAAGAAAGGTTGTTTGGGACAAAAAGCATAAAAGTGCTTGTCACACTGACACCAAAAGGTATTATGGGTAGTTTTCAGGTCACGGTCCCAGCTTGACCTCAGGATTTCAGGGAAATCTGAGAATGCATTATAAAGATGAAGTATAACAAGTTTGATGAGTTGATTGTTTTATTTAATAATAAAATTCATCCATTGCCACATATACAGTTTACCTTTCAAGGTTTGATGCATGCACTCTTTCCTTTTTTTTCCAACAACCTTTCTCAAAACAGCTGTATAAAACTATAGTCAAATCATGTCAAAGGACCTCCATTAAAATTGAAATTCAATTATTTGGTTAAGGAATGAACTTTTGAATGGCAAGCATGTATACATGTAGTACAAGCTGACCATTCAGGAAGAAGTTTGGTAAACTTTGATCAGAAGTAAATTTTATTTTGTCATCTAAGTTGATAATGTAGATTGGCCACTGTAAAGAGTTTCTAAGCTGAAATTTTGAGCGTTAGCCCATCATCAGAGCAAAGTAGTCATGTACCATTCTGTAATATTTTCATGAGTTAGTTCTATTGGTCTGTTTGTATTACCAGATGTACAGAAAAAAAAAACAGCATTTGACCCTACTATAGAAGATCATGTTGAACTTGTTAGTTCTTAAGGCTTATTTTCAACAATTCCTTTTTATTCATATAGGAGTTTGTTCCTTCTTTATATAGGTGGAGTAAATCACTTGGAAAGAGAAGCGCTTCACCATGAACCAATCAAGTCTGGTTATAACCTGATCAGTGTTGATGACAGAGTGGTTTCTCTAGAACTGGATCCATTAGGTTCACCTAACACTGAATCTGATCTTGTCCAGTGCTCATCAACAGCAATGCAGAGAGGTAGCCAACAACTTGATGCAGAAGAGGCATCTTCTTCATTAAATACATGTAGGTTGACAGTTTTTTTAAATCTATTTAATATGTTTGTTCTCACCAAGTAGTTCTTAATGTAATAATTAACTATTAATCAGAGATGACACTGATAAGAAGAATTTTGATGCCACCATATGCCTTGGGAACATTTGACACAAAGGTCTAGGCTGAAGCCCCTCTCATGTTCCTTCGTGTTTTGTTATTGGGCAAGACGCTTTTGATTGCTCTCAAAGAACCTTCCTCCATCCAAGAGTATGCAGAATGGGTACAAGAAACTGTTGGGGAAACTCGACAAACTACCTGGTATCCTCCCCAGAGGGAGAAAATGTATACTATTGCTGCAGTATCCCTAATTTTGAGTGGTGCCACTGAAATTGCAGGGATGAGCTTTAGCAACATTGGGGTACTTATGAAGACTTGCTAGACCAATAACCTAATAACATACTTGATGAACAGTTGTATAATGCACCTGCTGATTGGCCATGAAGTGTTAATATTAAACCTTTTGAAGTAATAAAGTTCTGGAGCCACTGTGAAATTGGACCTTTTATAATTTTGCATCATATTCTCACATTTAATGACCTCTCTGCAAATGAGTTGATTTGACTGTGGGATGTAAAGCGGTTTCTTCTCTCTGGGCTGCCATAGGAAACCTGTACCATCTGCTGAGTCATGTCTTGCTCACTTGATACTTCTCCCTGGAGCACCAATTAGAGTTGAGGTGAAATTGGAGGCCTTGCTAATTTTGAATCTGCAAAATTTATTTTATAGCCTTAAGTTTTATTTCCTTTTTCATAGCAGTGGAGAACTCTGACATGGAAAAACAATCCCATGATGTTACTTTAAAGGATGCACAGCATGGAAACCAAGATGAACCAGTTTCTGAAGTCCCCCTAGAGAATGCTACCATACTGCAAGAACAAAATAAAAATAACCTGAGGGAGATCACAATTCAAGTTTACCCAGGTCATAACTCCACAATATCTCTAGTGAACAATGCAATCCTCACTACTGACGTTGGTACCTTTTCAACACATGTTCCTGCAATCCTAACAGAAGGTGATGCTGAAGATAATGAAACCCATTATCAAGTTGTTACAACCAGTTCTGCAATGCTTAACCAGGCAGATGGGAATTCTGCACTTGATGTGCTGACATCATCAGCAGACTTTGGTAGGAATGTCATTCTAACTGAACAGCAACAGGTTCTACTGAGTGGAATGCTTGTACCTGGAGTCACAGCAAAACAAGCAATCCAGATAAACATGTCACATGATGCTAATACTTGTATGGATGTGAATGAAATTGCCCAGGATAACCAGGTTTGTTAGGGAAACTCCTCTGCGTAGGAGACACTCCTTTACTAAACAGTCACAATACATGTTTTTGTGTCAGTCTTTAGAATCTGAGGTTGATTTTAGTTGATAGGATGTACTTATAAACTGAGTGGGAGACTGGAAGGGATAATGCAAGTATTTGTGGAACTTCCTACTCTCAGTCTGTAGGTCCTGAGTATATGAGAACTTAAAATATTCTCTTAAAGCTTGACCTAACTCAGTCAGTCATTGAAATATTCTCCTAAAGTCTGACCTGACTCAGTTAATAAGATTCTATCGTATGACCACTGTCCTATCTCCTTCCTCTTTATCAGTTTTCATCTTGTATATTTGAATGTAGGGGCTGTATTGCTTTTTTTGCACTGAGTGCCACTTGTGCCAAAGCATATGGCCCTTACACTGGGAGTTTTTTTCTTATAATTTCAATATTTTTCAGTTGTGTGTAATAAGGGCCATACATATATCTTATTAACCAAGCGCAAGGGCCGTACTGGGAGAATATCAGCCCGAGGTCTTGACAGTATGGACCGAGCGCAACGAGGTCCGTACAAAAAAGACCGAGGGCCGATGTTCTTCCAGTACGGTCCCGAGCAAGCTTGGTTAATAAGAGATTTATTATACGACTGAAGTTCAAAGCGACACAAG